AAGCAGTTCGTTTTGCAGAACATAAAAAACTTCAATTAGATAAAACAATGATATGGGAAGCATTAGCAAACAATAAAAATGAACCAATACAATACCAATTACAATGGTTCTTTCTAGATCATCAATAATAAATATTTGATATATTAATTTAATTATATTACAATATTGTATTAAATTTTGTTTAATTTTTAAATGAAAGAAAACACTATTAAATGGTTAATGATAATTTCATAAATGAATAAATTGTTTATTATTCTTTATTCTGATTTATAATAATGAAATATGATTTATTAATCATTATAATTATGATAGCATAATTTAAAATGAATATTTCTTCATATCTTAAGTTAACAATAATCATATATAATGTTTATAAATGATTATGAAATAATTTTCATCATTATCAATAATACATCAATAATTTATATTAATCATTTATTAAATTGAATATAAATTTGAATGATTAGTTAATTGGTTAGGTATTTAATTAAATTCAATGATAAATCTGTATTAATTTGAAATGATTAAAAATGTAATTATCAACTTGATGATTATTTATCATTGATAATAATGATTTTAATAAATACAAGATTATAAAATCAGTTATTGTATTGAAAATATTTTCAAAACAAAAACACAATGAATAAGAGTTAAATTAATACTTGTTAAAATAAATCAGGTTAATTATTTATAATCTTTTAAAGAAAAATAAAAACTCTGACATTTTTCATTATAATTATGTTCACACTCTGTTCATTCAAAAGAAGTTCATATGATCTACTTAACTTATTTTATTCACTTTAATTATCTTAATAACCTTTATTTTGAAGTTGATTCTTTTTATTAATTATCTATTAAAATTACAAATAAAATATGAATAATAAAATTTAATTCATTTCAATAACAATGATTCGTTTTGGTATGAAATGACACTTTCCACAAAGTGCATCTGGTATTCCTTTATATTTAAATGACCATTGACAACAATGTGACTCTGTTTTATAGAATTCTTTACAAACACAAATATCTCTTCCAGTCCCAAAAACAAACAATGAAAAGTTATAGTATTGACTATCATAATAAAATGCTTCTTGGTAAGTCCCAATATCAAATTTCATCATTTCTTTTATTCTTCCTTTTGATTCTATTGAAAATAAAAATGCATTTGGATCTTTAACATAACATTCATCTTCTGTACCAATTCTCTCATTAACATATCCTCCAAATATGTTTCCATCTTCATCTTCAACAATGAACATTAAATGTTTTTTATTTATTATTCTTTCTTTAAACGGTGATGTACCCCTATTCCAACTGTCAATATTAGAATCAAATATAATACTTCTTATTCTTTTCTCTGTCCATTTTTCTAGTTGTTGAATTATTTTATGTGTTTTATTTGATTTATGTTCTTCTTTGATTTTAATAATATCATTCTCTAGTTCTTTTGTTTTCCTTTCTTCTTGGTCTTTTCTTTTATCTTCACACTCTTTCCTACTTATCTCTTGTTCATTTTCTTTTACTTTGTTTTCATGTTGATTTGATGTCATCTTATTGTAGTGATGTTCTTTGTTTATTTTAAATTCTTGATATTCCTCAATATTTCAAATGAAAATACAATAATAAAATTGAATATTAAAAGAATATGAAATTAATAAGAAATGAGACGAAGCCAAATTGTCACTAAACAATTCACTAATTTGTGTTTGATTATAATGAGAAGTGATTATGTTCATGTTTCAATACAATGTATGAATATTGTAATGTTTATTTATAGAATATATTCAAATGAAAATTCATCTAAAAAGGAATTTTTTAATTTATCTAAAAAAGAGAAAATTGAGGAATAAGATCTGAAATAGAAAAGAATTAATATAAAAGATCAAGAGTTTCATCTCATAAATCATCAATAATCAATTCAATGACATCCAATGAGAAATTTGAGAAAATTGCAAAAGAAATAATGTCATCAACAATAAAGAAAATAGTTAGATTTAAATGTAGTGATAAACCAGCAAGTAGATACAATTGCAAA